AAGAAATAAAAGGTTCTTCTGCCCTGCTTGGGCTCCCCTTCAGCCCACCCTCTGGGGTCAGTTCCCAGTTCCTTCTAGGTTACCTTTGAGTGTCTCTGGCTCTAAGATAGAGCACTGACTTCCAGACTACTTCACTGGAGTGCTTCCAGACCCTACTCCCTATGGTTCCTTCTTCAAATTGAGCTGAGTTTTCTCAGCCCCTTCATGAGGCCCAGATGTTTCAGGCTGTCATCTGACCCCAAATAATCCAGTCCCCTTAGGCTGGTAGGCAGCTAATTATGGCACAGGTGGGACTGAGTGAACAGGGCTGGTGAGCCCCAGGCCTCTTGCTCTTTAAAGAGGCAAATAGGCTGCCTACACTCCCCCTGCCCCACGGGTAGGCCCAGAGGTCCAAAAAGGGAGCAGAACTAGTGTAGTACTGCTCCACAAGGGTGTCAAGCTACAAAGAGCCAACGCAGGAGCTATCAGCAGCCCCAACCACGCTACACAGCTCTACATCATGAACATCCATTTATGCTAGTGCAGAGAGAGGTCTTAGAGGTCTGGTGGACTGGAGAAGGGTCAGGCTATAGCAAGTATACCCATAAGTATGTGGCTAAACTATGTGGAGCATGAAGCGGGAGAGAGTAACAACTGTGGAGACTGTTATAGTTGACCTAGAGTATGTTTACATTGCAATTAAAAGCCCCTGGTTGGCCTGTGCCAGCTGACTCAGGCTCACAGGGCTCAGGGTAGGGGTCTGTTTAATTGTGGTACAAATGTTCTGGCTTGGGCTGGAGCCTGAGCTCTAGGATCCTATGAGGGGGGAGGGTTCTAGGGCTTGGGCTGCAGCCTGAGTTGAAACATCTACACTACAGTTAAACAGCCCCTGAGTCTGAGACCGAGCCCTGCAAGCCCAAGTGTCTAATTGCAGTGTAGATATACCCTTCAAGCATAGCTCAGGGCTTTGCAGGATGGATTCTGTCTCCCACCCTCCAACTCCAGCAGAGAGAACCCAATATTACAAACCCCAAGCGTTTGATAATCATAAGTCAGTCCCCAACACACCATCAGACTGGCTTAATTATCATGAGATTTTAAAAATAATGTATTTTGAGTTCTTTTGCTCTCTGATCTTTAAACCATTAGGATACATGTTTTCCATCTAATCTCTGCAACAAGGGCTAGAAACCTACTCTTTTTTTTAAATGAAAATTGAAGATCTTCAATATTCATCTGACTCCAGAGTCTAGGAAGTTATGAAAAGCACCAAATATTGCAAGATTAGGGACAAAAGTACAAGAGTTTGCAATAATGTAAACCCCATTTTTTCAGCAGGATTTAGACATAAATGCCCCCTTCCAAGCTGAAAACTTATTTTTAATCAGTTTGATCACAAATATGGTTTGAAGTTAGAGAGATGGTGAAGTACTTAAAGACATTTGGGACAATGAATTATGACATATCCTAGGCCAAACACCATCGACAGATAAGGATAAAATGACCCATAGTACAATCCTAATTACTGAGTTTACCAGAGATATATTTCGTCCCGTTTGCCTTACCTATTCAGGTCACATTCATCTCCCTCAGTTCAGAGAAAATGATCCGTCTGAGAGCAAACATGTTCTTCCTTAAAGGGACACTGTCAAGTATTTTCCTATTTTATTTATATCTATATATATATATACACACACATTTGTTTTTCACGTACCATTGATATTCACTACCCTTCCATAAGATAACAAAATTATATTTTTCCTACTTGTTTTGTCCTTTTTCATTTCATAAACACTTGTTTGTGCCTCCTGCCTTATTTATGAAGCACAAGCTAATGTGGCTCTGACTTATTTACAGTACTTACTTGTTTGTGATCAGTGTCAGCATTGATGTCAGCATAGTTCTGGGAACAGGATTTATTATTTAACTTGTGCTCCCTCTGCTGGCTGGCTGGTTGGCTCTGCAGCAGCACAACAAAAATACTGGGTACAGTCATGCATAAACAGCAGCTATCATTTGTTAAAAATGTCCTTGTAAGCAGTGGTGGAGTGAGGAGACAATATGTAGAATCTGGAGGGCATTTCCCCTCCACATTATAATAATAAAAATAGGTTATATTTGGAACGTAAACTACTTGACAGTATCCCTTTAATTTGTAGCAGTTTTAGAATCACAGAATTTTAGAAATTAGATATAGAAAAGACCTACTATATAATTTAGTCCATCTCCCAGCACAATTGTTCACTATGATATATTTTCTAATGATTGGTTCAATCAACTTTCAAATCTCGCCAAGCAATGAGTTTCCTTCCCCAGCAGACTATTTCACAGAACTATTTGATCTCACTATGTATAATACTGTTTAGCAAACCATCACATTACCTTATGCAGTACTGTAACATGTCACAGTAACATGACGAGATGACAAAAGGTAGCCCATGGTATAACCCAGTGTGGAAGCTAAGCAGAAGCACATATTAGCACAGATATCCATTAGCAGCTATGTTATGTGTATGACAGAATGAAATGAGAAGGTTTTGTTTTTGTTCCAACCTGGAACAAAAACGATTTTTGAAATGTCAAAAGTTGCTGCTAAATGAAATTGTCATCCTCCAGTCAGTTCTACTTATGAGGAATAAGTGCCATACCACATCTATTCTTTACAAAGTGGAGCCTTCCATATCTACACACAGGCACACAAAAAGAAACACACAGAGACCCTGTACATATGAATAATCTGAATAATGCAGAGAAACTGTATCTACCACCCATTCCTGCTCTGCCTCTTTCCTCTCCTCCCCAACCCAACCTGATAACATTTAAGAAATTCTTAGCTGGCCTCACTTACTTCCTTTATCACTAAGTATCTCAGTAATTCAAAGAGTATATAATTTGGTGGCAAAGTTTATTGTAATAAGGTTGGCAAAATTAGTCATTCTACAGAAATTCAGATGTACAAAGTAAGCTAAATTGCTCTCAGGACCTAAGGAACCTCAACCTTTACACCGAATTTACCTTGGATTGTCTATATTTTGCTAATACATTACAGTTTAAACCACTGTGTTAATTAGCAAATATAAACACACATTTTTGATCTACTGTGTTCTTAACTTGTTATTAACTGGTCCATTGTATATGCATTACTAGATTTGATTTTAGGCAAAGCAAAGCTTCCAGTGATTCTACCAAAGCTATAAGAATACCCCCATTTTTCACGACTTTAAATCCTCTCAATTCAAGGCCACGAACTGCAACCATTTGGCTTCTGAAAGTAGATGAAATTATGGGTTGCAACCTGGAAATCACTGATAGCATTCTTTAATTTGCCAGTGATGTTGCAGTTGAGCATTAGGAAGCATTCCTTCATTCCAGGCAATGAATGCACTGCCTTCACAAAATCAACATGTGAAATTGTGGATAGAAAATACATGTGTCCACTTCTCCTATATGGCAATGTAGGTAACTATTTCTCTCATAGTCTATTAGGCCAACTCTCTATCGGAAACATAAAGGCACTTTAAAATGTCTGCATTAACACTGCATCTGTGAATGTAAAGTACATGATGGAATTTCACCAATGCTGAAGATGGCCCTGAATGTCTATACAAAGGATATCAGAGCCCATATTAAAAACATCCAAATGTAAACAAATATATTTGTTGTTAGTTCGCAAGCTGCTTAGACCCAAATATGGAAGATAGGTTTATACAATGACTTGCAAAGCCCCAAAATGAAGATACACTAATTGAGGGTGCTGGAAATGATATGTGGCATATTTCTTCAACATAAACAGTCTGTCAAATGTGATGAATAAAATTAAGTGATTCACTTAAATAAAACTGTAAAAACAGCAGGTTGTTTACTGACAGGAAAGCATTGCACACAGAATTAGTTTTGTTCTTGCATGTCAAACAAAATTCAAGATGTACCGAACTGCACTGTATAACTTGAATTCTTAACAAAACCAAAATGCAGATTTTGCAGGCAGAAAACAGTTGTGGTTCCTGCAAAATGCTGTTTTTCTTTTCAGAATGTCTTTTTACCCCCCAGCACAAATCCATGAAGACTCAAACTTTTTCCCAGAGGGTGGATTTTTCTATAGTTTCACTGTGAAATGCTACTGTACATTCTTTGGCAAAAGTGAAGATACCTGTCCTAGTTTGAATTCACAAATAATCACTACAGGGTTGGTGGATGTGGTCCACAATAGAAAACTGATACAGTGGTTAACCGTTAATAGTTACCACAATAGATTACATTGTACATCCATGGGATTTTTATAATTATTTATCTTTGTATAGAACAACTAGAGATCTTGAGTTTTGCTGCTAACAATCCACCATGCTTTATTTTTACTCACTCCTGACACATAGAAAAAAACTCAGCACCAGAACTGGCACTTGAAACCCAGGTTGCTAGCCTCAATGAAGGAGCAAAAATTTGGATGGGCCATGGAGACTGAATTACCCTCCCACCCTTAACAGTGGTCTGCTAGACCAGATATGATGCATATTGTAGGGTAATAAGTAGAAGTTTACACTGTTGCTACTTGGGGGCTTTAGCTGTTCAGTGGACAAAGAGAAAAATGTAGTCTCCCGGATGAGGGTATGTAAATTATTTTCCTACTGTAAATCATTGCCTACACTTCCTTAAGGGCTCAGAGGACAGCATTTCAGAGGCAGAGGGGAGCCCAAGACTTAATCTGTATGCTTTAGACAACACACAAAGAAATGCCACATCCCTTCCCCCAAGGTAGCTGTCCAGAGAATGCAAAGACACACCACACATTTCATTATGGCTTCCATAGAGAGTACTCTATGTGTAGAGAGTAAATCATTTATTGCTGGCAAGCTTAGCTATAATATACTTATTAACAACAGAAACCCAGATGCCAATAGTTTGCCCTCTTGACTGAGAGGCTAACATTCTGACAGTGGTTTCCTCTAACCTCATATCCCAAATTCAATTGTACAATACCTCAATATGTGGCTGAACTTTCAAGTGTCCAAGTTTGCTCTTACCTGCTGGATACCATATGTCCAACCCTGCCTGATACGGTCCCTTGCCCACACATTATGAGCATTCTCTGCTAGTTTATCCACCATGGCTTCTTGAGAGGGGGTCAACTTGATAAAGCTCAGATCCATGGGAGCAGGCTTGTATCCACTTGATAACTGGTAACTGTCAAACAATGTAGAATTTGCAATTGGTGATTTAAAAAAAAAATCACATATTTCACTGAGAAAACACTAACAGATATTACATAGGAAAACTACTGCATCTACTGATAAAACCACAGAAATACAAATATTAATAATCCAGATAAGATCTAGGTTATAAGAATAATGCATGGAAATAATGCACAGAAATTTAGCTTTGGTTTCTATTTAACGATATCTAGAGTGACTGAAGAAGTCCATTTCATTAGGCAGTAACATGTGTTATTGGATGTGTAAGTGACTCAGAATTACCGAAGTCCAAAAAAGGTTTAATATACTTATTGTGGCATTTCTTCACATGCTTAAAGCAATGCAGAGATTAAAGCTGATATCTATGGAGGTTGACTAGATGATCATAATGGTCCCTTCTGACCTTAGTATCTATGAATCTACTATATGCCCCACCCCCACCCCCGATCACAGTATCTAAGCACCTCACAATCATGAATAGATATCTTCATCCTGGGAGGTAAGGAAGGATATCCTTGTTTTACAGATGAAGAACTGAGGCACTGTACAGATTAAGTGGCTTCCCCAAAGACACACAGGAAGTCTATAGCTAAGCATGTAACTGAACTCCGGACTCTCCTGGCCCAGTGTAATACCTTAGCCACTAGGCTATCCCTCCAGCACTCAACTTCCTATGACTTGAATAGGAAGCACCGCAAGTAGAGCGCTGAAAACGGGGAATGTAATGAACCTTGAAGAGTTCCATGTTATCATTTTATTGTTTCCCCATTAGCATTATTTGTGTGCATTTCCTACTCTGTCAATGTTTCCCTGGGGGCAGGATTCCAATAGCATTCAAAGTAGTATTGTGAGGCCCATGCTCAAGAAACCAACTCATGATGTTGACAACCTGGCTAACGGTCTATCATTTTTAGGGAAGGTCATCGAAAGCCTATGACAGGCAAATATAAAAGTTTCTTGACATTTCCTTGACACTGGTCAATCTGGCTACAGGGCTGAAGAGGTGACAGAAATTGTATTGGTTGTGATTTCACTGACCATTGCTAGGAGGAGATCATCAAACTATTGAATAGACTATTTCACTGGACTGAAGTGTCCACCTTACAGAGACTATAAATGATGCAGAAAATTATGAATGCTAAAAAAAACCCGAATAATTAATTTAATCAAACTATGAAGACCTATTGCCAAGAAGTGGGGGGGAGGAGGAATTAGAGGTGAAATCACATGTATTTTCAGTAAAAGAAAAAAGGTACAAGAAATTATTTGTCCCTACTACTTGATCAGTGTCAAAAATAAGTTTATTGTAGACGTGGTAATAGAATCCAGAACTCCTAACTTTTAGTCCTGTGTCTTTTATCTTGTTTGTACCAGAGACACTATCTATAGGGAGAATTGAATGGCGGGCCTCTCCCTGTAAACTGTTATCTTCACAAGATGAGCTATGTTCACTCATTTATGTCTTTCTTAAAAGCCTTTAAATGTGATTTCTGATAGCAAAGTATAACAGACCTCTATGCAAAAACAGGTATCATAGCATGTATTTAATATGAATTCTACAGTAATCAGACCTTCAAAGGGCCAAACAGAACAACACCACATCTTTGTTTTAATCTTTAGTTCACTTCTGCTGATACAGCACAAGAAATCAATTTTCAGTGATGGTTATTCCAGACGGTTTTTACTGTGCCCTTATGTCATAAAAATGCTTCAAAGCATTAATAAAGCGTTACGCAAATCACTGAAATAGTGCTAGGAAAATCTCATACAGTAATTTTGGAACTCGTGTCTTAAAAAAGCAGCTAGTTAATATAGCCGGATTTTTTTTTAAGTACATTGAAATACTGCTATGCTGATGGTTAGAGTTCAGAATAAATGACTTACCCAACATTAATAAGCTGTTGCTGCTTTTTTTTTTTACCTGTCATGTAACTCATAGCTCTTTAGATCTGCCAACAGATATAAAAGAGCTGAAACTGAGTCTTCATTCTACATTTTTATTTTCTGTGAATATTCTCACTGGTGGGTTGGATAAGGTTCTATCAGTACAGTCACTTGCTCTCTCCACTACTGCTGCCTGTCGTTCAGTCCACCTGTATGTGGTAAACCATTTAATAAGATGCAGCTCAGCAGAAGTGGATCAGCCTATTATTTTGTTAAGACTTTCTTTCATAAGGAGTCTGTTAAACTGAACAGCCAGTTAAACAAAGAGATAAAACGGGCTGATTAACAGATTTTTTTCGCCATGAGCGCAGATAAAACATGTACCATTTTGGTCACAAAGGCATGTTGGTCTGTCGGAAAACACAGTTCTGGTTTCACATAAATTATACACATTAAAGAGCTGCCAACTGACATGGGAAAACAATAAAAACACTGAATTCAGAGAGTTTAACTAATCCGGATATTTTCTTGTATCTCCCTTGACTAGAGAATGAGAATACAATATTAACTCATCTTTTTTATCCATAGATCCTAAAGTGCTTTGCAACATTAATTAAGCTTCATAATACCCTTGTGAGGTACCTACTGCATAGTTCACTTAAGTAACAACTGGGGACATAAAGGGAAGAAGCCTACAGTCTAACAAAGTCTCTTAAACCCACATACTAATAGTTATTCTGAAAATAATTTCTTGTTCAATTTATTGCCCATGATCTGTAGATGCTTTTCTAAACTGTGCTTGTAAATGCTGTAAAACAATAGACTGGAATTAAAATATGTTTTAAACTTTGCAACTATTTTAAATTGTATAAGCCCTACTCTATTTTCCCTCCATCTTCCCTTTTTGACCCTCCTTTAATTTTGCTATAGTCAACTGAAGTCTTATTTTTTCAGATAATCATGACAAATAGGAGCTCAGAGGAAGGGTAAGTTCAGCATGATTGCTGGAATATTAATTGGAAACAGAGGTTTGTAATGAAGACATCACACAATCTGAACTAATTTATCAGAGGCATAAACATGATCGTGATGATGGTAAATGTAAAATGCAAAATGTCCCAATCTGTTTTCTGTCCAACTATAAAAATACTTCTAAATAACTTATCAGCAACACATTCTCATATGTAATTTATGTAGTCTCAACAGTTACCAAAATTGATTTAGTTTGTTAATTAATTAGCTTTGTCTGGCAACTGTAACAAATATATCTAATTCCTGGTTTCTGTCAATCAATTTGTATTCATGAGATCAATTTATAGGCTAACATTTAATTGTTCTACATGCAAATCATCTTCTCAGCATGACTTACTACAGAGCATTTTAATACTCCTGTTTGGGGGAATCAGTGAGATGGCAAAATCTGCAGATGATACAAAACTATTCAAGATAGTTAAGTCTCAGGCAGACTGTGAAGATCTACAAATGGATCTCTCAAAACTAGGTGACTGGACAACAAAATGGCAGATGAAATTCTATGTTGATAAATTCAAAGTAAAGCACACTGGAAAACATAATCCCAACTATACATAAAAAATGATAGGGTCTAAATTGGCTGTTACCACTCAAAAAGAGATCTTGGAGTCGTGGATTGTTCTCTGAAAAATCCGCTCAATGTGCAGTGGCAGTCAAAAAAGCAAACAGTGTTGGGAATCATTAAAAAAGAGATAGATAAGAAGACAGAAAATATCATATTGCCTCTATATAAATCCACGGTACACCCACCTCTTGAATACTGCCTGCAGATGTGGTCGTCCCATCTCAAAAAATATATATTGGAATAATAGAAATGGTTCAGAAAAGGGCAACAAAAATGATTAAGGGGTATGGAATGGCTGCCATATGAGGAGAGATTAATAAGACTGGGATTTTTCAGCTTGGAAAAGAGACGAATAAGGGGGGATATGATAGAGGTTTATAGAATCATGACTGGTGTAGAGAAAGTAAATAGGGAAGTGTTATTTACTCCTTTTCATAACCCTAGAACTAGGGAAAAAGAAAAGGAGTACTTGTGGCACCTTAGAGACTAACCAATTTATTTGAGCATGAGCTTTCGTGAGCTACAGCTCACTTCATCGGATGAAGAACTAGGGGTCACCGAATGAAATTAATAGGCAGCAGATTTAAAACAAACAAAAGGAAGTATTTTTTTCACACAACACACAGTCAACCTGTGGAACTCTTTGCCAGAGGATGTCGTGAAGCCAAGACTACAACAAGGTTAAAAAAAGAACTAGATAAATTCATGGAGGATAGGTTCATCAATGGCTATTAGCCAGGATGGAGAGGGATGGTGTCCCTAGCCTCTGTTTGCCAGAAACTGGGAATGGGTGACAGGGGCTGGATCTCTTGATGATTACCTGTTCAGTTCATTCCCTCTGGGGCACCTGGCATTGGCCACTGTCGGAAGACAGAATACTGGGCTAGATGAACTTTTCATTTGACACAGTACAGCTGCTCTTACGATCTTCTAAAGCTAAATTTCTTCTCAGAAAAGATTAATGCAATGGTAGACGACTACATACAATTAAATGTCAAAGAGCTTTTGTGTTTTTCTACTGTATTTTTATATTTTATACTTATTTTCTGACATAAAGTATGTGACACACACACATCATAAGTGCAAGATATGACTAGTAGTATATTTTAAAATTAATTTCTATTTAATCTGTCTTTAGTCATACAAAAAATGAGATAGTATTCTGTTTATTTTCTCAGAAAAACATAAATGTTGTTGATTGTGCCTATGAAAAAATGCTGTGCATGTCAGTGAAAAAAAAATCTGTGTAACTAAACATGACACCAATTTTCTCCTTTGAGTTGTACCTAGAGCTTTAGCACGAATCAAGTTAAATGGAGCTGAAAAGTCACTACGTTGCAAATGATATAAGGGAAACATATGCAATTTATGACCAAGTTCAGGGGATGTTAGCTGTAAACTCCATTTCTAAATCTGCTATTCAAGCACCTCACAACAAAATGGGAAAATCTCAGTTGACTGCACAGAGAAATATTAAGAATGTGTTTTGTTGTGAGCATGTCTTTAGAAGC